ATTAACTTACTAAAGTCTAGCTGAAATACAGACTACATCTGTGATCTACATCTTCGACTACGACTAATAATCTATCAGTAATCAATTTGATGGGCTTGTAAAAGGTAGAGTGACTTACTTCTTACACAAAATACGCGGAGTCTAATTCTGATGAACAAGCTCGTCTAACTGTACAATAACCAAAATTGTACTCACTTTTGCATGTGCTTGATCTTGATTCTCCATCTTGTTTATTGTCTCCAAGACACGTGACGCGACAAACACAAAGTTCGATAACAATTATTTAATTAAAATGTTTGGTTCTTAGACTATAAACCCTCAAATTATAGAAGATGGTATATTCATGCATAGTTGGAGTTTTAAGCTGAAATATTCTTGTTTTTATGGAATTAAATCTAATTTCCTTTCCTTGTTTAGAGATTGTCTTTTCTTGAAGTTCCTTCCACCTATTTTAGTGTCCAAATGAGCAAAAAACTAGTAGCGATACTGCGAACAGAGTTGGCGTGTTCATGGTGAAAGGCATTGTTAATTAAATCGGAAAGATGCCTCCCGATGTGAGCGTTAGTGTTATCGCCTACTGTAAGCTGGTGCTTCACTTGTCAAAATACCCACACTGTGCTGTGAACGGAGTTCTTCTGGCAAAGAAACCCACAAAGGAAAATAGGAGTTTACATTTTGTGGATGTCATTCCATTATTTCATTTAGCACTAGAATTAACTCCTATGTTAGAAGTTGCAATGACACAGGTACGGCGGGGTGTCTCTTGGATGTTGATGGCTTTTATTTGTTAAAACTTACCTTGATTCATGTAGTTGTTAATTGCTGTCTTTGTTGAATAAGGACAAAAAAGTTAAGTACTAGTAGTTGTTCAAAAGCAAGTCCTGATTATAATTCCAGAAAGACTGCAAATGTTATAGTAGAGGTGATTTAATACTTGTCCTATATACCCAATTTGTATGTGAAATTTACAAATTTAATTGTTATTATTTTCTTTATTGGAACCCAACTGTAGCAAAAAAATAAGCTATAACCAGCAACAACAATCTCTCCAATATTATATCATAATTTACATTTGCTTAATTTATAGATTGAATCCTACTGTAGTCAACAAGGGCTTATAATAGCAGGTTACTATCATGCGGGGGCTGTCATAGGTGATCCTAGGTAGGAGAATTAAATGGTCATTTTCATTCAATTTAAATCTTGCAGTGGGTCAGTCTCAAAAATTGCATTTCTTTCCAATTTTACAGCATTCTATATATGTAGGGACTTAATTAATTGTTAAGTCTTATTGACAGAGCTTAATATTGTTAATGAATTTAAATCTTTAAGGAATTGAATATTTGTACATATCAGATCTTGATTCTTTTCTGAACAACGTTTTTAATTAAAACCAACAACTTTGTTTTTTATCACATTAATTTTTCTAAATGATGTTTTTTAGATTAGACAGATTTGCTCAGAATTATGTACTTATTTCAACCCCAAATATTATACAGAAACATCATCATTATAATGAGGAAAACAGACTACTAGTAAAATGTTACAATAATTCACTATTTGCTCACTGTGTATGGGATATAATATATTTAATTTTAAAATAATTTTCAGTCCAACTTTTATAGCCAAAAGGATAGCAGACAAAATATGTGAAAACCTTAGTGATGGGTGCTTGTTTATGGTAAGTATGCAGATGGTAGTGTCTTTTTTAAATTTAAGAAAACTGAAATTAAGAGACATGCCGGAAATTTTGCTATAAAGACATATACCCTTGGTGGCTTGTACTTACTTGATAAAATATATGTAGACTACTAGTAGAATATAATTCTGTATTGTAAAATATGTCTTTTAAAAATCAAAAAAATGGTATTTTATTGTAGATGACTAAAGTCAGAATGGTTTATATATTTAGAGAGTGAGCAAAAAAGCAGATTATATATTTCACTGCATTGATGATTGTTAAATACTTGCATTGCGTAACTTTCTGAAATGCTAATTAAATATTAAAGATTTTCAAGACAGCTTATGATTTTAAGTCATTTTCCTCAGAGAATCCACACAGGCATGCTGGGAACTTGCTGGATATGCCAAGCATTCAAACTGACAAAGTTCACAACAAAGCCAGATAAACAACTGCCAATTTGAATGTTTAATTTAGAATTAATTGTAGCAATCCACCAGATTTACAAGAACACTCGCTTGATCTGGATATCTGCTGGTCCAGAACCATTAGTTCATATCTTTATCCTTTTTTTTTTCAAACTAAAATTGGGCAGGTATTGATAATCGGATAACTGTATATGTGAGCTACATAGTATGCGTGTGTCTTTTTAGGTTAATAACAACAAGTTGAAGCAACTAGAAGAATCTGAGATCTATAGGATATATTGCAGGCATGATGGAAAATGGGAAATAAAAGATCAGAAGTAAGTAAAAGATGGCTATATGGTAATTTTTTCCCTAGCAAGGATTTTTTTTAAATTTTCTCATTGTAGGAAAACAGTATCACAGGTAATGAAGTGAAATTATGTAATTAATGTAATGTAAATCACAGAGTCTACGAAAAGAAACCTTTAAATTTTAATACAAAATTGAGACATAAAAATATAACTTTTTATTCTAGATAGAAGATGCACAGATTAATTTCAAAGTCAGAAGTTTTACTGCATAAAAGACGAAATTCATAATAAATATATTTCACATTATAGAATAGTTTAAAATGGTGGCTGTTTAATCGCTGGTTTCAGAGTGACTGTGGAGGAGGATGGTATGCCTATAGCTTCAGCATTAGTGGATGCCCAGGTGTATGACCAGTTAGTGGACTTTGATAACCATTTGGACAACATAACCTTGGACTGGAAAAACACATTTGTACAGGAACACATTGAGAGAGTTGTCCCTCAATAATAGCCACTTTAAAGTTCTCAGGATTGCTTCAAATCCTTTTCACAGAAATCAAATTTTTCCATTTATTTAAATGCTTTTAAAAACTTTTTGTGTAGTCAGATTAAATTGCAGCAAGAGGAGAGAGGATAATTAATTCATGATATTAGTTAAGACTGAAGGAACAGGTTTCAGTTTTACCTCAGAGTCTGATAATGCAGGTGGATTGAAATTCAAATTACTTGGCCAGTTTCTTCACACATTTGGATGCAGGTGGCAACTTCAAAAACAGTAGGATAATAATGGATAGACATTTTTTTATTTTGTACTGGCCCATATTCTCACAGTACAACTTTAATCTGGATTAAATTTATTCATATCAATTACAATAATAAATTGTATTTGATATAAGCATGACCAGTCTTTGAAGAAAGTTTCTTGTCTGTAACTTGCGAGCACCAAAGCAGACACTGGCACAGCATTTTGAAGTAGATTTCCTTTAATTCTGACAGTTCATACAGATTTTTGTGTGCAAAAGTATTGCAAGCTGTATAATGTTAACTTTTGGGTTTTGTTTCACATAAAAATTGACCTATTTTAAGCTTTGTTTTAGACTATCGAAAATATAACAAATGTGTCTGTCTGTTAAGAACAAGATGAACAATATTTTTCTTAATTTGAAGATCAAAAATAAACCCAGGTTTGCTTTTATATTTCAAATCAAAACTGTTCTTGCAGAGATGGTCCCCTAAATGGCATTTTAGTCAGTTACATGGCATTCCTGATGAATGCCCAGAAAGTTGTAAACATTTCTGATTATCCACTGTATAATGCTATAATTTGTGTACAATGATAACATTTCAAATTATTCAAAATCTACTAGTCAGAGTGTGCCTACTCAGCTGTTATTTACATGTATAATTGGGGAAGACACCACAAGAAAATTTAGTTAATATTTATAACATTCAGTATTTAGAAGATGGTAGCTAAATGATAAATATTCACTTTTGCAAAACTTTTTATCAGATTCAAAAATTCAATTTGATCAATTCTGTAATCTATGACAAAGAATCTCTAGATGTTCTTTTAGGTACAATTTCCGAAAATTGTTCTCATTCGTTATTCAAAAAAGGGATAATATATCTATAATTATTTCGAAAGTTTCTCTTTAGATTAAGTAAATACAGGGCTCGAAAGCATCGTGAATTGCAACTGAGCACAAGCGTCTCTATTCCATAACTTGGAATTTACTCTCCCCATGTAGGCCCTAATAGCCTCGAAATGAAAGGTGATAAACAACGCGCGATGTTTTCGAGTTATGGAGCCCAGGTTAATTAATTAATGAAGACAACTGTCATAAGTTCTTGTTATTAATAAATTATAACCTCCACTTTGTGGTAATCCTTCTGTTAAATTGTTTCCCTTCAACAGTTTACTGTTTTGAATTTTTTTTTCTTTTTTTTTTTGTCTTTGACCCAAGTTTACAGAAGAACCAGTTGAACTGAAAAGTTCTTGAAGGGTACTGCTGAGACAGGGTTGTGCGCTTTAAAAGACGTTGAATGGTGTAAGATGTAAAGCTGCCTGGTCATTTTTAGCTGGAAATACACTGTAGTGGAGCCACGAGTGACACAGGCAGCCTCCACAGTAAAAGTTGTTCTATCATAAGCCCAAAAACAGAATTATGCATTTTAGTAAGACCTACAGCATGTGCTATTATTGTCCACACAGGGTAGCCTGCAGTTCATTTTATCAATGGCCATCTTGGAATCATGATAAATAAAACTAAAATAACCACTTTTTGGCAAAATTAAGTGTAACTGGCAAAGGAACATTGCAACACACAGATAAATTTATCAAAAATGTATATTTTCATTTACTTTATCATTCAATTTGATGTTTTTCAACATGTAAACAAAATATTGTTTGTCTGGAATCCAGACATTGGCAGCCATTTTGGATTTTTCAACCCTGAACGAAGTCTCAAAGTAGTACAAAATATTAAGTCATGAATGTCAACTCATAACTACAGCAATAAAACCTTAAATATGTATTCTTAAATATTTTATAGTAGGTATTACTGGTTGACATATCAAAATAAACCCATTTTATGTAGTGGCCATCTTGGATAAGAGCCATCTGTGTTCAGATATATGATTTTTAGATAAAGTAACTGGTATAAATTGAAAATAAAGACTTCAATTAATTCAAATCCATCAAAACTTGAAATATTCCTAATTTTTTGGTTAATTTTTTTTTTCAAATTTATAGGTACTCGTTTTATTTATTTTAAATAAGGAAAATGGTTGCCATCTTGAAAAATGTAAAATGCCTAAAATAGTTGAAGAAGGCCAGAATACATGTGGCCAGTTCAATTTTGATAATATTTAATTGTTTACTGACTGTAAAATCAATTATTTGATTTATATATGACAAATGAATTTATTGGCAGACATCTTGGATTTGGCGTCTTTCTGGTACAAATGGACACTTTTTCGAGCCAGAAACAAGCAGAAATGAGAAACTCACTGACAGGTTCTTAACTACAAGAATCAATCATAAAACCTTTGCCTGACTGAGGGTGCTGCCAAATTGGATTTTTTGGCCTATATATATATAATTGGATTACGTAAGATTGTTATAAGTTGGGCACTTTGAGATTCAGAGGTGATTCAAAAATCTGTCAGCCATGCCTCTGCCTTTTCCAGGTATTGGGTCATTGTGAGCAAATATGGCAAAAGATTCCAACACAAAATTCTATTTTCACTATAACATGACCTGAAAGATACAAATTATTTTCAATGCAAATGTTTGGCAAAATGATATGTTTTTCCTCTGTTCATTCCCTTTTTGATAAGTTCACCACTTTTTTCCTTTTACTTTTTGGCAAAGTTAACTTTTTGGTCTCATTTAAGGTAAAACTTTCACATTCCCTTCAAAAACCAAATCACCCATTACACATAACAACTACGTCATACTATATCAATACTACTGAGAACACTCAGAAGATGATCAGTTCCTCACAAAAACTGCCCCAGAGAAAAACATGTTGAACAAATTTTAAATTATTCAGAACTGAGGGAAGTCAACAATTACAAACAAGTCTGCCCATTCATGTTTAATATCATTCAGTATACATATACTTTTCTTCAGTACCAGTTGAGATTTCTATCAAATAAATGTATTTCAATATATGCCTTTTTAATAGTATTACATAATAACAATAAATATAACATACATTTTAAATCGCTGTTTTGATTTTGTGCACAAAATAAATATAAAATGACACCTGGGTTGATTATGTGGAATATATTTGGCTTATCTCATAAATATAATTTTATCAATCCCTTATAAATCCCAGGACTCAATGATTAAATTTAGCCAAATTAGCAAAAAGGCTCATTTAGCAACAGAAGTAACTTGACCCAAGGGTTATTACCATAACACAAAAATGGAAATTGGAAAATAATCTTATAACTATAAATGCAAATAATAATAACATTCCTAATAAAAAAGGTGGAAAACAAATTGAAGTGATAACCGCACAGAGAGAAAGAAAATAACGCCTTTTCCTACAAAGCATCAATACTTTACAAGACAGTCTTTAAAAACTATAAATCAAAGCTACATAACAGAAAACAGGTCTACAGGGATTCAAAACTAATGGGCCAGAGTTCATAAATACATTTTAGTCTCAATTACTACCATTAATATGAATAAATAACTTGAACAAAAGTTATACCAAAAGCTTTAAAATTATTCTGCAATATGATGATTTGTTAAGTCTATATGCCTGTTACTTGTATTTATCTCCTTACATGAGACAAACCCTTGGTCCCATGAATACAAATACAAATACAAACAGGTCACTTAAAGACAAATATAAACAATATTTTGAATAATTCATATTACAAAATGATACCTTGGCCCTAAAGCCCTTAACAGTATCACAATATATTTGTAAACAAATTTAAAACAAGTAGATTTAGCACAAGTGAGCATCTCAGAAAAATGCTGCTTTTATAAGTAAACTAAATCTTAAAATTACTGGCGTTGATTTAAGAAACTTTATAAAAAAAGAGACATCTTTTATGGTCTATATATACTTGGTGTACTGATATGACTGGACATGGCAGTGATGTAATGACCTTTTCAAGCAGGACTGTCACAGATGAAGAAAACAAAATCATAGTTGGCTGTTACCTTGATCTGCTGATAAATCTAAAAACCCCAAAAGATGACTAAAACACCACAGTGGAGATTTTGATTTTTTCCCATTATCATGAAGCAAGACTAGAGTGTTATAATTATGTTTTTCAGATTCATTTTATCTGTTTTATATTTCTCGACTGATCACGGTGACGGGTGAGTGTGAACAAAACCACAAGACATATTGTGGAACATTGGCTTTGATTTGTGGCACTCCATGGTTGGATTTCTTTGGCTATCACTACCATTCTTTCATGTCCAGTTCCACTACGTTTAACTTTCCTTTCTTATCAATGGTACGGTACTTTGCTAAATCCTTCCTTGTTATAATGCCTTTCACCTGTGGAAAAAATAAAATTAAATATGATAAGTATTGATAGTTCAGTCTTATGAGTCAATCATCAAACTGAAAAACACTACATTTTGTTTAATAATTTTCCTACATAGTAATGAAAGATACCATGTCCATAGATTTATTGTTTTACCTAAAAACTCAAGTGAATAATCAATCTTGACATATCCTCTTAAATCTCATTAGAATAAAGTTCCAAGTCAACTATCAATAATAACAAACTTGTCATTAAAATCTTTGGTATTACCTCGTTATCATCATTAACCACTATAAGGTGGCGGAGTCCCAAACCTCGAAATAAAGTGAAGACCTTGGGAAGTGACGCAATCTGGAAGAGAAACAATTTTCAAACTTAATAAATCTTAAAAGGTTGTGGAATTCAAGATGTAAATGATTATAAAAGAATGCAATCTTTAATGAGCAGTGTAGAGAGTAAACCATTAATTACTCTTCAAATCAGTAAGACAATACAATTTCATTTTTAATTGAATTTTATATTGTTGCCTTTAAAAAATATTAAATTTTAATATTTCTTTCATATTAGTTAAAACAATTAAACAACTTAAGGAATTCAAGAAGAAATCAAAAACAACTTCTCAGCAACATTGAATGTTGTACAAAGTAATTGTTATCATTAGAACTAATATGTGAAAATGTATCATAGCAATTTAAAATTATTAAAACATTTTATCTGTATATGAGCTACATCACCAACTGTTACAATGATTGTTTTAAATATGTGAAAATCAAACATTATAATATGATACCATTTCACATCAGTAAACAGTAAATGACCTACCTCTGCCACGCTGAAGGGAGATGGATTCATAAAAGGTTTAAGGTCAAGAACACATTCTCTCTCCTCATCTGTCAACATACTCTGGAACACACAAAGAAGAAAAAACAAAATCATGTCAACCAATGATACTCTTAAAGGCCAATAAAATAAAAATGTAAAATGTCTTTGTGTTGGAATGTCTTGCATTAAGAAAACACCAAAATTTGAGAAAAATCAAGAGTAAACTATATTGCATTTCTCCCTTTTCCCCACAAAATAAGTTGTTAATAAATTGGTTTCTGTGCAATTATCTTAATAAATCAAAGGTTAGTCACTTTTAGTCAATTTTGATGTTGGTAAGGATAGTAGAGTTTCAACAGGGCCAGTAACCTGAGATGAACTGACCTATACAGCCAATGGAAAACTGAGATATTTCTAACAATTAATGATATAGATATTGGGTTGTCTGTGTTCTTAGAATGCTAAATAGTAATAAAATTAACAAGGATCTAAGCAACCAAAGTGCAACAATTCTTATATCTTATCTAATTGTCAATTCAATGACTTAGTGGGTGCATTTAATTATAGGAAAAGGATATAATGCATACTGAAACTTTTAATTATAATGGTACACGTCTACTATTTGCTTAATATTAATTAAACCAAGACATGTCAATCAAAAGGAGAAAAGATATTTTCTAGTTGAGTTCTAAAAGGCAACAATGTGATGTACAATAGAAATAAGGTTATTGAATTATGTAATTTTTACTAAATTAAATTAAAAGTTCTAATTTGAAAAAAAAAGTGCTTTCATCTCTACTTTCTCATGATATCACTGAAATTTCAGGTCAAAATATATACACTTAATTTCATAATTAATTTTTTTTATTATCATGACTACCAGTTCATTCAAATTTCCACCCAGAGATTTTAATCATGCTACTGAATATATTACAATAAATAAATAAATAAATAAATAAATAAATAATTAAAAAAGCAGAATGCAACTACTAATACCATGATTGTATTTTCTCAAGTACTAATAAACTCATACTTGCTAACAGGGGGTACTTGTTGCATTGTGGGCAGCATTACCAGCGCCATCTATACACTGAATAAGCCAAGTCATGTGATGCCAAACTAAAGAAAAAAGTTGGAAAAGCACACATTTGCTACATTATTTTATTAAGATGCACAACACTTCAAACATAAAGTATTTCAAACAGGTGTTACGTACTCCAAAGTGATGGTGATTAAAACTGAACAGGACACTTCATGCAGATGTAGACATATAGCACTGTTAAAGCAGATCACTTCAATTCAAAACAATATCTAAACCGTTTCATTTGCATTTTGACAGTAAAATTAACAGGCTCAAGAGATAAAATAAGGCTTTATCTCTTAGAGTAAAAAAGTTACCAGAGAAGAAATTCACACCCCCTCCAAATTTCAAAACTTGCCCACCAAATGGGTACAAGAACCACATGATCCAGAAAAAGACAACTTCCAACATGCTTAGTACATGTATCATTCATTAAAGCAAAGAACTAACTACACAATTAACATCATGCAATAAAATATAATTATTCTATTCACTGAATATTGACACACTGATATCTTATCTGTTAAAAATAAGGCCAAAAGCACTTATTACAACAATATATTCATCTTACTTCCTGTGTCCATGCCAATTTAAAATATCAAAAAAACTGCCATAGATCTAAATATAAAATTTATTGAAACGGATTCAGTCCTCTTTATTTAGTTCAAACGTATGTTAATAAGCAGTTCTAGTATGCTCACTCAAAAAAGTATTTCAGGTTTATAATCCAAAAAACTGAAATGTGCACTTCAGAGTGTGAACTGAGATACCTTTGATAAATCTTCATGTAGTAATAAGCATAAAAAGTTAAAACATAATTAAAAGCAAAAAATAGCCCACCATAACACTGAGTAACAAGGCCAAGCAGTGCAAGGGAAGCACATACCTCTACAGGAAGATTTCTAGACTTGGCATCCATGAAGTCTTGGAGACTGAATGGTTTAGGGGTAGCAACACCATTGGAAAAACTAAGGCCCTGAAAATAATTACCATTTCACAAATAAACTAAAATACTATTTATAAATATCAAAGGCCAAAAATAGGCTAAAAATGCAAATGCAAAAAGGTGACAAGCAAAGGCAGAATCTTTTTATAATTTACAAAACCTAATGATCTATTTCTTATGAACTACTAGTACAGCTATCTAAACACATTCCTTGAAGAGATATTCAATCGAAAGCTGAAACTTTTCATAGATGTCACTTGCATTGTCTGGTTAATGGTCTCATTCTAAGATGAATTCAATGCAATTAATGCAACCTGTATCAGTGACAATGCATCTTAATAAGTGGCCTAAAATATAAATAACTAACTGATATTACATGCCTTTTCTCTTAGAAGATATGTGAGCTGTGACCTGAGCATAAATCCTATCAACTTGCCGTATGTCTTAGGCTTCACCTGAAAGCACAGCAACAATCATTTTAAAACTCAGTAAAAAGAAATAAGAAAGAAAGTGTCCATTCTGAAGTATTTTTTCTTTTAATGAAGATTTTTAATTAGAAAAAAAAATGCAGATTCTCTCTTAAAAGTTAGACTTAAAATTATAAAAAAATGTAGATTCTCTTTTAAAATTAATCATCCTGTGACCCACTGTATCTTCCTAAAAATCCTGAAGTTCTTGAGAAATCCTTGAGAAATACCTTTTCTCCATCAATAGCTTCCACAACAGGAAAGCCTGAATGTCGCTTCTTACGATCTTTAAGCATGTCAATCATGGTGCCGACTTTTTCCAAAGAGTTCAAGGTCACTACACGGCGTGCCATCACATGCCTGCAATCATATCACTTCCGTAAAGTAATGAATTATTATAAATTTCAATAAAAGGAAAAAAAGAAACAAATTTCAGCCTTCTTTTAACTGATTTTAATTAGCAGATACAGGAGACTCAGTGTAAAAATAGTCTAAAATAAACCTAAAAATGTACCAATAAACTACTTTAGTTTGAATCATGATCATATTTATTTAATGCTTTTTCAGATATTTTCAAGTGTACAATGCCCTACATTTCAATCTTTCCTATTTACAACTGGATTCAAGGCAAACGTTACAACTGCTGCAGGTTATTAAGTCTCCTTAAAGTCCATGAATTAACATTAATTTAATTCAAAGTGTATTATTCAAAATTATAAGTATTTGGCACTGCTTTAAGAGACACAAGTTAACAATGATCTCCAGGCAAATATGACTGTTTTCAATTTATAATCAAATGTCCTCAATCTACCTTGCTTTGACATTGTAACACAGTGGAGGAGCTTCCCATGACAAGAAAGGCAACCCGCCTAGCATGATGTGCATGTCATAAATCCCCTGGAAATACGTCAAATAATTCAAAATTAAAACATCTTCTATCGGGTATCAGATTGGTACTGTATTTAATATCAACTGTGAAGATTGAACAAATGTGCAGCAGTACTAGAATCTATTATTTAAATTTTTTACTGCAAAACCAATAGGCGCTGTTACAGATAAAAAGATACCATTATTTTGCTTTATGTAAAAAGATGAAAATGATCACTGTGTTGATCTTGAATGTATGAGACAAAAATGAACAATCAGAATTAGAGATAACCATTAACTCATTCTGCCAACCATTATGTGAGAATGTTAATCACCTTCCAGCAATTAAGTCAAACTAATCAACCTACCTACCAATCAACTAACCAACCAACCCACCAATCAACCAGCCTACCTACCTATCAATCAACCAACACACCAACCAATCAACCAACCAACCTACCGATTAACCAACTAGTCAGTCATTCAGACAGTCCATCCATCCATTCATCAACTAACCAACTAAACAACCAACCAGTCAGTGCAAGTCAGCCAGCCAGCCAGCCCACCAACCAACCAACTAACCAGTCAGTCAGTTAGTCAGCCAACCAGTCAGCCAGCCAGCCAACCAACCAACCAACCAGCCAACCAACCAACCAACCAACCAATCAGCCAGCCAACCAACCAGTCAGTCAGTCAGTCAGCCAGCCAACCAGCCAGCCAACCAATCAACCAACCAACCAACTAGTCAGTCAGTCAGTCAATCAATCAACAAAAACCAAAGCCTACTGCATTGAAGAAGTCCGCAGTCCACTTCGTGATGAGCAGCGTAAACATGATGGGAAGACCAAACGTGATGTCTCCTGTGCACTCTATGATGATCACAGTGAGGCTGATGGTCATCCTGACAATACCACCTAGCTGACAGGCAGCTCCTATCAGGGCATACTTGCTCACATTGTTGGCCTGGAAGTTGAAAGAATATGGTTAAGGTATATAGTGCATGTTAGTTTGTTAAATAATTGTCAACAAATAAAAGTTTCAACACAGTACACCCAGTTTGAAAACAAAACTGGTCAGAAAATTTCAATCTAAAACTGGCACATTCAATAGCTCAGCACCTGGGACATATATATATTCAGGGCACATTTAGGATGAAGAGAGCTGTGTACAGTAACAGTCTGTTTACCCCCTTTCCTCTCCCCCTGACCACCCACTGCCTACCTGTACTAAGTGTAGTATCAGTCCAAACCTCTCCCTTCCCCAATGACCACCCACTATCCACCTGAACTAAGTGAGGTATCAGTCTCTTAACACACTTCTCTCTCTCTCTCTCTCTCCCACTGNCTGACCACCCACTACCCACCTGAACTAAGTGAGGTATCAGTCTGTTAACACCTCTCTCTCTCCCACTGACCACCCACTACCCACCTGGACCAAGTGAGGTATCAGTCTGTGAAGGCCCTGTCCCACTAGCCTCCCCCATGCCGCACCAGTCAGCAGACAGGGGATAAAGACACCACTCGACACGCTGAGACCATACGTCCAACAGGTCAGAAAGTAAAAGTACACAGCCAGTAGTGCTAAAGTCCCTGGCTCAAAATTTTCTGGAAAAATAGTCTGCTCATTAAATTTATGAGTGAGTAGAGCAACTTCATACACTGATCATATATAAAAATAACCAAAGATTTAAAGGTCTAAATGTAAATTTGTAATTATCCTGTTGTCTCAGCTGAACAGATGTATATGTACTATAAAAGTAAGAATAAAAATTTATGAATGAGGAAAAGGGAGAAATAATCATCTATAAACCCATTCTAAATATCTCACTAAATTTTACTGCACTAGTGCTGCAAACAATGAAATTTACCACTCTGCCCCCACACAAGGAGAATGGTACATAGCCTGAAAGCCTAGAACCCATAGGATTATGTGTTGGGACCATAAAATCTTTAAAAAAATATTTTGCTATCTAATAGGCATTATCTAAAGTCTTACCATCATGTAACATGCCTTTCAAACTGCCTTCTGGAGATTTGAAAAAGATCACAGAAAACTCATTCTTCTCTGCATAGTCACAAAATAACTGGAAAAGAAATTGGTTCCTTAGTCAAATAAATTGTGAAATTTCAAAGTAAGTTTATGAGCATCTAAATACAGAAAAAGTGGCATAACTGAATGATTCAGAGTACTCAAGGTCAGAGTGTATTGCTGTTTTCTACCACTGCACAACTTTCTCACTCAGTCTATTCTTATAATTTCAACTCATGTATCCAACAAAATGGAGAATTAAGACAATTAAGAAATATAATTCAATTCTTATTCAGTTCCCTTCATCTTAATTAGAAAGGACAGAAATGTGAAAGGTCCTGCAAAAGGGAAAAGATACAACAGAGGAGCAAATACTAAATTATATTTATGGGACTGTACCATATATTATTTGCTTCTCAACATTCATAATTTATAATCTACACAGTATCTTGGCACAGGCTGGGTCATAATCTTATTTAAGTCTAATCACTGTTAAGTAGAACAAGCAGTACTCTAGAAACTCTCAAAAATTGTTCTAATCACTTTCCTTTGTTATGTAGTTTCGGCAACATGTCAAGTCTGGATCGATTTTGGTTCCCAGAGGATGAAAGTTTTAAGAGTCTAAATTGACAAGTGCATTACCTCATTTCTGTTCTGAGAAATCAATTCAGTCTTTAAAAAAACATGGAGATTGTCATATACGTCTTGGCCTAAAGCGCCATCTGTAAGTAGTTAGGAGAAGTAGAATAAAAGTCACATGTGTGAACAGCTTGAATAGCGTGTTTGTCTTTATTTTATGCCATTCTATGACAGAGATTGAAATATAAATGCTGAAATCTTAACCAGGATCCACCCAGCAGTACTTCTATGTACACTTTGAAGATAATATTTCAACCTGCTTACCCACCTTCACACCCATATCATCATGAATATCCTTCTTCTCCAAACTATCTTTACAACCATGCCAAGTATAAACAAGAAAATAGGCCGTCACTGCACTGACTGCCGCTATCACCACTGCCTCCAACACTTTCAGCCATTTTTTTCTGACGAATCTGTATGCAATGAAAAAGAAAAATGGAAATTATATATGAGCTTCTGTGGTAATATAAAAAAATGTCCTTTATGAATAAGATTTTTAAAAAACTTAATATAGATCATTATTCCTAACATATAGTTATAACAGTTATTAATGTGTTACTTTTCCATCAAGAAAGTTCCAGTTTTTATGAAAAAAAAGCAACTTATCCGAGATACCATGCTTACTTTCTCCTAAACATGGACAAATGAAAAAATAAATTTCATTTATGTATATAGCACTCATTTTTTCCACAATATAGACATAAAAATAATTATCTTATTTGCTATACTTACTTTCTCCTAAATATAGACAAGTGGTAGTTCATCCTTACAAACAGTGCCCCTGTAAGGCCCCCTGAAATAGTCCAAACTCTTGTGATAAATCTCTCTTGTCAACACCAAAAATAATTAATTTGAATATTTAATATCTGACATTNTTTGAGTGTTTAGTTTGAATCATGATCATATTAATTTAATGCTTTTTCAGATATTTTCAAGTGTACAATGCCCTACATTTCAATCTTTCCTATTTACAACTGGATTCAAGGCTAAAGTTACAACTGCTGCAGGTTATTAAGTCTCCTTAAACTCCATGAAGTATATTATACAAAATTATAAGTATTTGGCACCGCTTTAAGAAACACAAGTTAACAATGATCTCCAGGCAAATATGACTGTTTTCAATTTATAATCAAATGTCCTCACTCTACCTTGCTTTGACATTGTAACACAGTGGAGGAGCTTCCCATGACAAGAAAGGCAACCCGCCTAGCATGATGTGCATGTCATATATCCCCTGGAAACACGTCAAATAATTCAAAATTAAATCATCTTCTATTGGGTATCAGATTGGTACTGTATTTAATATCAACTGTGAAGATTGAACAAATGTGCAGTAGTACTAGATTCTATTATTTAAATTTTTTACTGCAAAACCACTAGGCACTGTTACAGATAAAAAGATACCATTATTTGGCTTTATGTAAAAAGATGAAAATGATCACTGAGTTACAAAAAGCATGATCTTGAATGTATGAGACAAAAAAGAACAATCAGAATTAGAGATAACCATTGACTCATTCTGCCAACCATTATGTGAGAATGTTAATGACCTTCCAGTGATTAAGTCAAACTAATCAACCAACCTACCAATCAACTAACCAACCAACCAACCAATCAACCAGCCTACCTACCTATCAATCAACCAACATACCAACCAATTAACCAACCAACCTACCGATCAACCAACTAGTCAGTCATTCAGACAGTGTAAGCCAGCCAGCCAGCCAACCAACCAACCAACCAACCAGTCAGTCAGTCAGTTAGTAAGCCAACCAGTCAGTCAGTCAGCCAGCCAGCCAGCCAACCAACCAACCAACCAGCCAGCCTGCCAGCCAACCAACCAACCAGTCAGTCAGTCAGTCAGTCAGTCAGCCAGCCAGCCAACCAGCCAGCCAACCAACCAACCAACCAACTAGTCAGTCAGTCAGTCAATCAATCAATCAACAAAAACCAAAGCCTACTGCATTGAAGAAGTCCGCAGTCCACTTCGTGATGAGCAGCGTAAACATGATGGGAAGACCAAACGTGATGTCTCCTGTGCACTCTATGATGATCACAGTGAGGCTGATGGTCATCCTGACAATACCACCTAGCTGACAGGCAGCTCCTATCAGGGCATACTTGCTCACATTGTTGGCCTGGAAGTTGAAAGAATATGGTTAAGGTATATAGTGCATGTTAGTTTGTTAAATAATTGTCAACAAATAATAGTTTCAACACAGTACACCCAGTTTGAAAACAAAACTGGTCAGAAAATTTCAATCTAAAACTGGCACATTCAATAGCTCAGCACCTGGGATATATATATATACTAGTATATTCAGGGCACATTTAGGATGAAGAGAGCTATGTACAGTAACAGTCTGTTTACCCCCTCTCCTCTCCCACTGACCACACACTGCCTACCTGTACTAAGTGTAGTATCAGTCCAAACCTCTCCCTTCCCCGCTGACCACCCACTACCCACCTGAACTAAGTGAGGTATCAGTCTGTTAACACCCCTCTCTCTCTCCCACTGACCACCCACTACCCACCTGAACTAAGTGAGGTATCAGTCTGTTAACACACCTCTCTCTCTCTCTCTCCCACTAACCACCCACTACCCACCTGAACTAAGTGAGGTATCAGTCTGTTAACACCTCTATCTCTCCCACTGACCACCCACTACCCACCTGAACTAAGTGAGGTATCAGTCTGTTAACACACCTCTCTCTCCCACTGATGTCCCACTACCCACCTGAACTAAGTGAGGTATCACTCTGTTAACATCTCTCTCTCTCTCCCACTGACCACCCACTACCCACCTGGACCAAGTGAGGTATCAGTCTGTGAAGGCCCTGTCCCACTAGCCTCCCCCAGGCCGCTCCAGTCAGCAGACAGGGGATAAAGACACCACTGGACACGCTGAGACCATACGTCCAACAGGTCAGAAAGTAAAAGTACACAGCCAGTAGTGCTAAAGTCCCTGGCTCAAAATTTTCTGGAAAAATAGTCTGCTCATTAAATTCATGAGTGAGTAGAGCAACTTCATACACTGATCATATATAAAAATAACCAAAGATACAAAGGTCTAAAAATGTAAATTTGCAATTATCCTTTCTGTTGTTTCAGCTGAACAGATGTATATGTACTGTAACAGTAAGAATTTAAATTTAAGAATGAGGAAAAGGGAGAAATAATGATCTATAAACCCATTCTAAATATCTCACTTTTACTGCACTAGCACTGCAAACAATGAAATTTACCAGTCTGCCCCCACACAAGGAGAATGGTACTCAACCTGAAAGCTTAGAACCCATAGGATTATGTGTTGGGATCATAAAATCTTTTAAAAAAATATATTGCTATCTAATAGGCATTATCTTAAGTCTTACCATCATGTAACATGCCTTTCAAACTGCCTTCTGGAGATTTGAAAAAGATCACAGAAAACTCATTCTTCTCTGCATAGTCACAAAATAACTGGAAGAGAAATTGATTCCTTAGTCACATAAATTGTGAAATTTCAAAGTAAGTTTATGAGCATCTAAATACAGAAAAAGTGGCATAACTGAATGATTCAGAGTACTCAAGGTCTGAATGTATTGCTGTTTTATTCCACTGTATTTTCTACCACTGCAACATCTTTCTCACTCGGTCTATTCTTATAATTTCAACTCATGTATCCAACAAAATGGAGAATTAAGACAATTAAGAAATATAATTCAATTCTTATTCAGTTCCCTTCATCTTAATTAGAAAGGACAGAAATGTGAAAGGTCCTGCAAAAGGGAAAAGATACAACAGAGGAGCAAATACTAAATTATATTTATGGAACTGTACCATATATTATTTGCTTCTCAACATTCATAATTTATTATCTACACAGTATCTTGGCACAGGCTGGGTCATAATCTTATTTAAGTCTAATCACTGTTAAGTAAAACAACACTAGTGGGCCTGATTTGATCTTAAAGTGCAATTTCAGTCTAACACTAGACTGAACCGGTCTTAAAAATTAAGGAGGGACTCTTAATTTAGTCTTAAGACTAAAAACAAACTTAAACTGCAGTGAGTAAGACTATAATTGGTCTAAATTCAACTGAAGTGGCAAAGCAATTATCTCCCCACACACATTCAGACCAGACTTGGACTTACTATCCAGCCAGACAGGTGAAGATAGCAATCAAGTAGAGGGCCATTGTGTGAGTAGCAAAGGGTGGTTTCTTGGCAAGTAAGTGCTAATTGCCTAATTGATAAGGGTGATTCAGATACTGTCTCAGATAATTTCTAAAGCAAGGAAAGATTTGGTTGTGGAAGTACTAGTGCAGCATACTTTTAATGTTTTGACATAAGAGCTTAGGAATATAGTTTTGAAAGCATTAACAAACAAGGTACATTTATTTTAAAATTAGACATGACCTTTTATTTGTCACAAACAATTGAAAAGTCACTTCAATCTAACATAAAAATGTACAGTTTTAATTTTATTTAAAACCACATTATACCACAGGAATTTTATGTTAGAATTTGATATTCAAAACAATATATATGTATTTCTTGATTTCTGCATTTGAAGGAAGTTTTTCTCTCTTTTTTCTTTCTTTGATTTTTCTGATCAAAAAACATTTTATCAAACATTGATAAACCAAATAAAATCACCATCTATAGCTGTTACAAAGGGTTTGCTAATATCACTGAGTGGTACCATTTTGTTTCCCTGGAATTTATTTTTTGAAAAAAAGAAATCCAGTTCTTTCTGAGGTGGGAAAAAAATATCTAACAAGACCCACACCGTTTCACAATGTCTGTATAAGTCTGACAGCCTTCCAAAGTGAATTACTCCTCCTCTGCTGTAGCTATGTACAGTTGGAGTTCTTGTGTAAATACTAAATGTCAAAACCTTTTAATAAAGAAAAATTGTGAAAATGTATGCTACATTTCCCCTGCTTTAGAAATTATCTGAGATAGTATCTGATTCACCCTTTAGATATAAATCAAAATCAAAGAAAGAGACAAGAAAGGAAGACTTCCTTCAAAACAACATTAAAAGTATGCTGCACTAGTACTTCCACAACCAAATCTTTCCTTGCTTTAGAAATTATCTGAGACAGTATCTGAATCACCCTTATCAATTAGGCAATTAGCACTTACTTGCCAAGAGACCACCCTTTGCTACTCACACAATGGCCCTCTACTTGATTGCTATCTTCACCTGTCTGGCTGGATAGTAAGTCCAAATTTGGTCTGAATGTGTGTGGGGAGATAATTGCTTTGCCACTTCAGTTGAATTTAGACCAATTATAGTCTTACTCACTGCAGTTTAAGTTTGTTTTTAGTCTTAAGACTAAATTAAGAGTCCCTCCTTAATTTTTAAGACCGGTTCAGTCTAGTGTTAGACTGAAATTGCACTTTAAGATCAAATCAGGCCCACTAGTGCAAGCAGTATTCTAGAAACTCTCAAAAATTGTTCTAATCACTTTCCTTTGTTATGTAGTTTCGGCAACATGACAAGTCTGGATCGATTTTGGTTCCCAGAGGATGAACGTTTTAAGAGTCTAAATTGACAAGTGCATTACCTCATTTCTGTTCTGAGAAATCAACTCAGTCTTTAAAAAAACATGGAGATTGTCATATACGTCTTGGCCTAAAGCGCCATCTGTAAGTAGTTAGGAGAAGTAGAATAAAAGTCACATGTGTGAACAGCTTGAATAGCGTGTTTGTCTTTATTTTATGCCATTCTATGACAGAGATTGAAATATAAATGCTGAAATCTTAATCAGGATCCACCCAGCAGTACTTGTATGCACACTTTGAAGACAATATTTCAACCTTCATACCCACCTTCACACCCATATCATCATGAATATCCTTCTTCTCCAAACTATCTTTACAACCATGCCAAGTATAAACAAGAAAATAGGCCGTCACTGCACTGACTGCCGCTATCACCACTGCCTCCAACACTTTCAGCCATTTTTTTCTGACAAATCTGTATGCAATGAAAAAGAAAATGGAAATTATGAGCTTCTGTGCAAAAACAATCAGTATACACAGTAGGTAATATAATAAAATGTCCTTTATGAATAATTTTTTTTAAATTTAATATAGATATTATTCTTAACATATAGTTATAACAGTTATTAATGTGTTACTTTGCCATCAAGAAAGTTCCAGTTTTTATGAAAATAAAGCAACTTATCCGAGATACCGTGCTTACTTTCTCCTAAACATGGACAAATGAAAAAATAAATTAATTTTCATTTATGTATATAGCACTCATTTTTTCCACAATATAGACATAAAAAATTATCTTATTTGCTATACTTACTTTCTCCTAAATATAGACAAGTGGTAGTTCATCCTTACAAACAGTGCCCCTGTAAGGCCCCCTGAAATAGTCCAAACTCTTGTGATAAATCTCTCTTGTCAACACCAAAAATAATTAATTTGAATATTTAATATCTGACATGAAAAAACAGTATTTTGAGTGTAAAGCATCTTTGTAAACCAATATGTTATTCCGTGTCACGTACAGTATAAAGACTAACATGACATGAAGTTGGAAGGAACCAATGATATTAAAAATGATCAGACATATATTAAATCTTAACAAGCCAGACTCACCAAACACTGCCATAAGAATAAATATTGGGAATTCTATTGTATCATATGTTATGTCCTGAAAGAAATAACAATGTAATTTTTAAATTATCAAAACCAATACAATATATAATAATTTAACATATATATAACATGCAGACTAACTCACAACATCTGACAGCTGGTTTATTATTCTACATAAGCCTAACATTTTATGTAATATTTTGTCTGACTGTGACCAAACTTGGAATTGATGTGAACAAGTCTGTGGTTACTTGCATTAAAAATATTTATTTCAGAACTGATGTAAGCAGGCTTGTGGTTAATTGCATTATTTGAAGTCAGTAACTTACGGTGAACTGTCCAAAACTGACCAGTCCTGGATTGGAGAGATCAGCAGCATTACCGTGAATGGCACTTAGAATAATGTTGACAGAAAAAGTGGCTGTCATGGAGGCAAATAACTGGAAACAGTAAGTGTAGTACAGCTTAATAAAGTCAAGAATTTCAAGGCAAAATAAGTTTGTTGCTTTGCTGATAGAATAAGATGTTACTTAACACCAGCACATACCTAGAACTAAACATTATTTTCATGTTTTATTTTCTAAAAAGGCAAAAATGTTACATTTTTCCTTCAAAAACCTTTTATCAAATTCTAAACATTTTTATATCTTAGTCTCTGACTAATGATCATTCATAATTAAGGATAAAAGAACTTCAATAATTGACTGAATTGCTAATAACTGATTAATTGAGAATATCACTCCAAAGATCATCAAATCAATCAATAATTTTAAAGGATCATTTTACCATTCTCCAGGTTAGCATTTGATTCCAAAAACTTGCACCTTCCTCCAGACTGAATAAGACACCACCTATAGGGGCACCAAATGCTGCAGCGACGCCTGCAGCTGCTCCTGCTGACACAAAGTCCCGCCTTTCGTGATCAGAACGCAAAAACTTGAAAATCCTTGGATCATACCTGCGGCCGCACCTCCTGGCTCGTCCCTGAGAAATACCAGCTGCCACTATGGCACCGGAGTGGATCATAGGCCCTTCCTAAAATGATGGAGACTTGCATAAAAATTCCTAACCAAAAAAAGATATTTGCCATATTTCATCTTTTCAAAAAAATAATTGCATTTATCAAAACTGCAATTAAAGACAACTCAACTTAACTTTTATAACATAAAAAAGTTTTTCTTGACTGAGAGTGTCATACAGTACACTTACAGCTACATCCTGTTCTCTTGTTGTCTCATGTGATCAGAAACCAAAGACGGTGGATAGAAGCAAAGTGTATGACTTTTGATATTCCATTTCTTATTCAAGAATAACCCTGTTCTACCGACTTTCATAATATCATATCAGATGACACAAACATGATGAAAAATTTAAACCTGAATGTGCTTCTTACTTTAAAAATATTGAAAATAACCTGGCAATTTATTGTCTTACAATTCAATATTCTTTGTATGGATATGACCACATCCACCCAAAACAGTCACTTTGCTTTTCAAATGTACACATACCAAATATGGACATGGCCACACCCACACACAACAGCCACACTTACCTTCCCACAAGCCAACCCTCCACATATGGACATGACCACACCCACAGCCTTAGCCAGCAAGGCTCGGATGGTCATTAGACCTGGCATCTTGATACCATTCAGATAACATTTCACCTGTGGGATGCCACTCCCTGTAGCCATCGGCTATGAAAAAAAAATAATAAAACAACAACACTAAACAATTTTGTTGTTAAAAATTTGATTGTACATTTTCAATTGTTACTTGAATATAAAATCTGATTCAACACTTGTGAAAGTTGAAGCAATGTGATGCTAACTATGGGACTACTAAATTGGGTAAATTCTTGGCCAAAATGGTGTGCTGAGTTTACAAAAGGTTGTACTTATATGAAGCTGTCCCAACTTGTCTGGAAATGCAACCTCACCTCTAGATATGTGACTAGTGCTGACCCCAAGACAACACAGAAACAATTGATTACCACCCACACCACCAGAGGGATTGCAAGACAGCCTGGAGTCTGAGAATCTGTGCATTCATCTGTTACTGAAATATAAAAATTGGGACAGATAAAATTCAGTTTTAACAATTCTTAAAAGATCTAGGGAATGGGGCATTTGATCAAAAAATATTAGTTGCTAATTTTGATTAAAAGACACAAAAATCACTGACAAACAGTCTGAAGACATTGACTTCTTAAACTCGCACAACTAAATGCATGAAGATATTGATCACTTTTAGCCAACTTCTCAAAACTGGTAAAGTGTAGATTGTTGATACAAGGAATTGTTCCCTATGCCTGTAAGTTACGGATGTTACCAATCTGATCAGCAAATAATCATTCTGTTACCTTACAGCTTCATAGTTGTGCAGATTTAATTATACAAGATCTGATCATGACCGAGAGTCATTTACAATTAGTTGCTAACTACAAAAAATCTAAGTTAAAATAACTTTCTTTTCTATAATTTTACAGAAAAATACTTACATGTTTGCAGAGCAAGAAACTTATAATGAACTATATAATCCACAGACATTTCTACGCCAACGGCCACTAGCGCTGTGCAGAAACCAATAAGAAACATTACAATCCATCTGCTAAGCCACTGCCATTGTATATTCTGCAAATAAAATAAAATTAATGGAATTGGTCAGATGCTGCCATCTTGAAATAAATAAATGAAAAATGATACCGATTAAAATAGGTAAACACTTTACAGATATTATCATCATCATCATCAAGTGTCAGACCTGGTGCAGGCATTGCTGATCATGGTTCTCCACTTTACTCTATTTTCAGTCGACTTGATGATCTCATTTATTGTAAAGATATTATATGCAGATATATAAGAAGTAAAAATTAATTAAATTTAAATAAACCTGATGGTATACAAATGGGTATTTCATAAATTCAATTTACAGTTATAACATGGGTCACCCGAGACAGCCTGAAGTCTCAAAACTTTGCAATCAATCTATTAATTAACTTAATTAACATCAAGTCAGATTTCACAGGGTTTGGAGGACAGTGAGTCACAATAATGGCAGACTAACAATTTGTCCACAGGAATTTTTCTGGTCGTTTTCTTTTAATTTCTAAAGAATAAGTCTTTTGCACAACAGACTATATTTACTATGTTTTTGTGTTTCTTTTGTATTTCTTTTTCAGACAATATTCTTGGCGCATAGATCTTATAGCCAAAAGCCCAGCCCCTAACAATGACCTCATGCATATTCTTGCATAAGTTTTATTATCTCAAATGACATCACACAGTGTCCACAGCCTCATTTCAGGATTATTTTCATTAATAGCATTTCACAGAAAAAAATTCAATAAAGCTCTGTGAAAAACTTGTGAGAGCACAATAAAACCCTGTTCCAGTAGTACCTAGATCGATCTAGCAGGATCCACCCATCTACAAGGGGTTTCTCGCTGACTTGCTTTCAGCTTAAATTGCTCTGAGGTCTGGTACGCCTACTGAAGCTGTTAGGGGGTCATTAACTTTAGTTTAGCAGCTTCAGTATGCCTGCCAGACATTTAAGCCGCTTACACTGAAAGCAATGAGGGAGAAACCCCTAGGAAATGAGTTGATCCTGTTAGATCGATCTAGGTAAGGGAATGGGGTCTAAGACACATAATACCCAGGCTATGTACTAGATTATTAAATTTACCTTCTAGTACACAAACATATTAAAAAAAACTTGACACTCAAAAAATAACACAGTAGCTTGCACCGAGAGGCATCAGTTCCTGGAAAATTTGATTAACATCCAGATAACCGTTACTCATTTATTTAATTATCTTCTAACTGAGCAAATATGATGGTGTTATCAACTTAGCTAATTCACACTAGGGTTTAGTTAGGTTGTTTCTGAAGGAATCTAAATGACATTAGCACATCCCACTGTGATCAAAAGGATGGATAAAATCAGCCGTGTTGGTGGTGTGCCTGGCTGTGATGGGGTTTGCAAAGTAGCAAACTATGAGGAAAGAGACAACAAACAATCAGCTGAGATGTAAGAGCACATTCAGAACAGTGGACTAACAGATCTGTGGACCAAATATGGCAAACCACTTAACAGCTTGCCGCTCAATTCCCAATTAGACACTGAATAGATTCTCCGAGGGGATTAGGCAACAAGCATTGAAGTGGGTTGGCCATACTTGATCTGCATATCTGTTTAACGGCTGTTCTGATTGTGCCCTATGTGATGATGTAAAAACTACAAGGCAATTTTATCACTTCAAGAAAAGGAATCAATCATTTCAATCAGCTGCATAAGATTTTTACTTGAAATATCAAGCCAAACACAAGTTACGAAAACTTTTGTTGCATGGTCACGTAACAGTGACAATGAATACCTTTTGTTTGTAACAAATTGACAAAATTTTCGTGTGTAATATCAATGTAATATCATGGGCTAAGTTGGGAAGTTGTACAGTAAAAAGAAACACTGCCCCATTTCCATTCTTGGTTTGATCCTCTAAAATGATTGTGTTTAATCATTTCTTACCTTATATTCTAAACTGTTCTGATATTCTTGAAACAATGAGTTCTCATTAATTTCATAATCAAGACCCTGCAAAATACAATAATACAAATTTTAAGTTTAACTTAACTTCATTTGATATATCAGACACATGGCTTTATTTTGAAATTGTATATAGCTAAAGGGAAATTTTTAAAGCAACAAAATTGACAGAATTCCAGTTGAAATCATTTGACATAATTTTGAGTCTAGACAGCTAAATTAAACTAACTTCTTAAAATATTTCACTGAGGACTACTTCACAAAATGGAACTAATTAATTTATTTCTCCTGACAACCCCAACCCCGTATTTATTGCTACAGGAAAAGATATAAATAACAATTGTTGGTCTTTATGCTGTTTTATTTCCCTAGCTACTTAGATAGCTTTTATTTATCATTCTGATTGAGGTCAAATGCACTTTTGTCAGAGTAATCCCAACATTTGCAAAAATAAATTTCAGAATTAGAATCATGTGATTATTAAAAAAAAACAAAGTATTTCAGGTACATCTATCAAATTTCTGGTCAAGTCTGTGTTGTGATCTTACCTCGTAAGTGGTCACCAACCTCTTCATTGGCTTTAGAACCTCTGGTCTCTCCTCAGGAGCAAACTGTTCACTTTCCACAACATATTTTCTAAATCCCTAAAGAAATATAAAATATAAAAAAAAAATTAATTTGTTATTGGACCCACCTGGTAATTAGTTATATATTTCCATAATTCATCAATGTATAAAAATCCCCATTAGATGTGAATCTTTTTTTTTTTTTTTTGTAGGTCTTACTTATCAAGAATGAGGAACTAAAATACTAAATATTACATTTTCTAAAAGTAAAATCAAACAATCAAATACTGAAGTGCTGTGTAGATTAACTTACAGGCACTCTTTATCTGAAAAATAGATGTAACTGCAATAAATGTTTTAAGATGAAAACTCCCTTTTCCTCTGTTGACATTTAATGCTAACAGCAGCTCAGGAGAAAAAGCAAACCTTTCTCTCCCTCTGCATTCCTAAAACAAATCTACAAGTCTTAAGAGAGACTAATTTGACCCTTTAAAAGGCAAAAAAAAAAAAAAAAAAAAATACTGATTGGTGGAAAATTCCCACGTCAGCCAATACGTATACCTAATGGTAATTACCAGTGCCTACAAATCCTTCCAACAAACACCACAACATACAATCATTGCTTCTTAATATCCAAGGTGAAAAAAAACAAAATATTCATCTCAAAACTGACAATTTCAGCCTAATCTGTGACAAGATTCATTTGTACTAGTTCTCAAAAAAATGAATCATGTCTACACAAAGACTTGTAAAAATTAAATTATGCTTTTAAATTCTGTTGTAAGTTATGCATCTAAAATGGTGCCTACCTATTTTAACAAATAATTTAAAATAAATATTGTATTTTTAGTTTTAAAAGTCATCCCAGAAACCAAGACCCTTAAGACTCATTCCTATTTTAATAAATAAATAAATATTGTATTTTTAGTTTTAAGAGTCATCCTAGAAACCAAAACCTTTAAGGCTCATTCCCAGTAAAACTGTCATTCTACAGAGATCAACCCAACTCTGCCGTGACTCTTGTTGACTGCAATCAGATTAACAGGCCCCCTGTTGGCATTTAGTAGAAAAGTACAAAAGCTGGTGATAATACAAGTACAAGAGGTGTGATAATTTGCAAAACTGATTGCATTCAGTGAGAGTCTCCAAAGAGTTCGACTGATTTTCAAAGAACAATAGTTTCACTGGGAATGAGCCCTTGGCCTATTAAGTTGCGGGATAATTTCAAGTGAAACAAATCAACTGAAAGTGCTTACATCAATTAAGTTGTTATGTTGACAGAATAATATACATTTTAGCTTTATAATATACATTCCTAAGCATCCCTGATCTAATCAATTCCTTGATCAAATATAATTTATACAAAACAATAAAATAATAACTAGAGGATCAGAGAGGCGATACCGCCTCTGAATATTGTACCACCAGCTGGAGCAAGCGCATTCGTATAGACCCCCACATACACAAAATAAGGGACACAGTCACCAGTCTTGTGCTTGACAAGCTGGAAACATGCAATCAACAAGAATTTTTCAATTAATGCAAGTCCGAGACTGTTTATTTAAGAGTACTACTACAGATCTATCCTGCTTAAAGTTGACAAAAAAATTGATTTATTACCTTCAATCCAGTTTTTGACTTCAATTAAAAGATAGTCTTGTACTGCTAGCAAGAAAATAACTCCTTACAGCACTCTTTCCATAGAAATTCCTGGGAACTGTGCTATTTTTGAATTAACTCTCAGCTATATCCTTAATAGCAAGATTCCCACACGCAACAAATACCTAGTAACAGTTACTTCAGTCCAGGGGTTTTCCCAGGATTGGGGGTACAGGCCGTCCAAAATTACCATCGGTAATTTCCTGCAAAATTTCCAGGTGTCCAATTATCCCTAAAACTGTCATATTTCAAAGAAATCCATAAGCCGTCCAGCCGTCTTTGAAAATATAGGCCGTCCAGTGATGCTGGCGGCTGTCCAAATGACAGCTTGAAGGTTCGCTGGCAAAACCCTTGCTTCAGTCCAAAGGGAACTGAGTACAAGCACTTCAAGATTACAACTTAATTAAATCCAAGCCCAAAATATTGAAAGATTTTTTTTAATACTGAAAAAATAATCAATGATTGAGCATTGACATTTGATGCAACTGGATTTCTTTTGGATATCTGCCTACCATTAATATTTGCTTCAATGAATTTTTTGTATGAGCTTCCTAGCACAAGTCTATAATTTCAGCAGAAAAAAATACAATGAAAGATGTGTGAAGAATTTTCTCATTAATTTTCAAACTTAGCAGTGCAATATTTCAGTAATCAGTAATTTGATCCTTCTTTAGAAACATGACTGCAATTTAACTGATTGAATCATCCCATGAAAAAAAAAATCAGTACAAAATGAACATTTTCCATAACAAGAATTCACCATGATAATTAAGAATCTGGACAAATAAGGCATACCAAATTGTCCAGCAAACATGATGCACTTCGGGGTCATGATCAGCCACTGGTATCAATGGGATGGCAGATTAACTCTTTGCCTATACATTTTCAATGATTTTTTTGTTTTGTTTTGTTTTCTCTTATCCAGGCAAAAGATGAATTTTTTTAGGATCTTCTGCAATGTATGCACTTTACCCTGCCTATATATCAGCTAAAGGGAACATGCTCAAATCCTTATTTCAAAAGACCCTCTCATACTATGCCTCTCTAACCATAGACAGGATTACAGACAAAGCATATGGGTGACTGCAATCAAATGCTTATGCTTCACAAATTGAAGACTGCAGTGTAGTTTACCAAGGCCAATCTAAACATGACTTTAATTCACTGTTGTCAAGTTTTAAATTCAAAATGAATAAGAACAAGTGGCCACTGGTAAAACTTCTCACATACATGCCAACACTTCTTGCATAAGGAAAAAAGAACCATTTCAAGCCCAACTAAAGGAAGAGGTTCCAAATAGAAAAAAAAACTTACCCTAAATTTCTTAGACAGCAACCGGGTTATACTACTCTGAGCAGAAGTGATTGTGTCACCCTGTCCGTCGCCTGGATACCAGTCTTGCATTGCTATGGTAACATATTTCTGCGGCTTATTACTGGTTTCCACCACTGTACCCACTTTATCAGCGGTTGTCAGCTGATCTGACAAATCAGATTCTTCTCGGATAAGATCTGGTCTCTTCTTGCCAGCGGGTGGTGGTGGTTTTGCTGTACGTGTCCGCTTTGAAACAAGAAGAGGGCTTTTCTGTTTGTCTTGTGGGCTATTTGGGTCATTTGATGTTTTTTCATCTTTTTCATTTTCTCTGTATTTCTTGAAATCCTAAATGATAAAAGAAAGTGGTATTTAAAATAGTTAACCTGATAATACATTTGACATAAAGAATACATGTATGTGGTAGTGACAGACGCTTGTTAATTAAATGAATTTGTTCTATCAAACTGGCAGGGAAGGTTTCACTTCCAATTGAAAATATAATAATAATAAAATATAATAAAATAGGCTATAAAATTTCACATAAGTGTATTTTATGCTCTTTGGGCAACTGTAATTACTGTAATAAATTACTGAAAAAACTTTTTAAGTAATTCTATGTTCAAAGACAATGCTTTGTTATAACACAAAAAATATTACTTGTCAATGAATAAGTGAGTGGGTTCACAGCACAAATCACACTATTTACAGTAACTGTAGCTATAAAAAGGTCAACATTGAAAAATAAATATAGAGGACTAAAAGTGTGGTGTTAAAAATGTGTGTGCTGTTATCATACCTTGAATTTTGAAGACAGTATTCTAGTGATACTGTTCTGTGTTAGAGATTCATTGTCGCAGGAGGCCTCATCCTCTGTGTTATCGGACGTACAGACTTGGTTAATCTCCCCGTTTTGGGGCCTATCTGATGGGCCTGCTACATCCTCTAAGTGAACTGGTGTTACAGTGAACTGAAAGATTAAAATGTAACATTACACGTAAAATAAAGTTTTAAGTTAATATTATGAAGTGTGAGTTCTAATCACAATTACTATGAATTTTGAAAATATAACTTTAAACACATATTGTGGCTCTTTACTTTAAAGAAATCAAAGTCAATAATACTGTAAAAAATTAATCAAAGTTATACTAGCATCAGATCATCTCTCTCTCTCTCTCTCTCTCTCTCTCTCATAAACTACAGCATATTCGATATTTCAGTTTCTCCCCCATTATTCACTCCATCCTTCCTTCCTTCCTACCACTATCTTTCCATCATCAACCCACTTTAAAACCTTGCTCTTTTGTATTTTAAATTGCAGTCAAAACTCAAGCTTGCAGACAAAATAAAACACACCATGTGTGGTTCCATGGCTGTGCCTGTGGGCCCTGCCATCCTGATAGTGGATCTAAAGACTGGGAGAGGTGAAAGCAAGCCTTAGTGTGCCGAAGGATAAGGCGGCCAATTAATCACTGAACCTTGCCACTTTGATTGTACCCAAAAGAATCATAAATAAAGCACTGTGGTACTGCTGCAACCTAAGATCGTAGGTCAATAGAACTTTAACTATTTACATGCTTGGCCAGTACTAGTTTTTGAAACCTTGCAAAGTTTTTTTTTCTTTATTTGCAAGAAAAGATTTCCGTGAACTTTTTGGAAACAACGTGCTTAGTCTGGCAAAATTTTCACAAAGTTATATCTCTTTTAAAAAAAGCATACCCATGCATGCTTAACATTATAAATGTCTTATCAAAATAAATATCAAATCAAAGATCTCTTTATCAAGCATTTGACACACGCTAAACATTATTTTACACATCTCTATGCTAAGTGTACAGAGAGAACCAAATATGTAAGAATGTCACATCTTACACAATATACTTTGTGCCTAAACAAGTCTGCAACAAATTAGCAAAAGCACAACACATTTCAACTGAAATGAATTCAGGTAAACAGTGATAATCGAAAACTACACTAGGCCTGACTGTGCCACTTCATCTTTGTGCTCGATTTTGAATCACCATTAACTGCTTAAAGAAAAATTGTGCACTCACTATTAATATTAGAATAACTATATATTATCAATCTTTCTACCCAGATCTGAGTTTGAGTACTGTGCAACCTTACACTGTCACTGTCAGTAGCATTAGGATTCTCACTGACGGTTTCTTCCAAGTGGCTGTACTTGCCACAGATTGTCTCCAAAGGGCAGTTTTCACAAACAGTAGTTTTCAAATATAGATACTTGTCACAATCCTCATACATCATCTCTGAACTGTTACCAAATATTTGATCAGAAAAATATTCTTCAGATTTCAAATCAAGATGTGATCAAAGAAGCACACATTAAATTCACAGCCTGCAAACTTCATCTTCAGCCATTTACTCTGCTGATTTTTTTCCAATTCCCCTGAACATTCTGTATCAATAATTCAACAGATCTTTGTACCAAAGCCCCATTACATGTTCATTTTCCCATGAGCTAAAACTTCCCCAATAACTCGATTTCTGCCTGCTTTTGAGGCCTAATCATGAAATGGCTGTATCAGTGCTCTAAAAAGAGAGAATTTAAGAAAAACACTAAAATAGTCTTGATTCAAACGAAGACCTAAGTTTAGTAAATAATAAACACAAATACTTTAAAAAAAAGAAACTTTATTCATTTCCAAATCAATACAAATAGGTGTTACTGATTGAAAAGTAAGGAACAATGATAAGTGCACTTTTATCCCTTCTAAGTCTCTACCTTTCCATCATAAAAAAATCAAGAGCAAATTTCATCCTCAGCAGGTAATTTCTCAATCTTCCCTGCCTTGAGAAATTATTTCGTAATATTATCATGCGAATCAAAGTCCCCAGTTAGCCATCGTGTTGTGCCAGGAGTATTCAATGATGTCCAAGCATCATTAATTGTTTCTGATGACCATGGTCCAATTCATTGGGCAGAGCTACAACAAGGTAATTCATTGATTACCAGAAATGAAATAGGTAATTACGTAATTTAAGTTAATTAGTAATGGGCATGTGTGTGTGTGTATATGTGTGTGTGTGTATATGTGTGTGTATGTGTGTGTGCATGCATGTGTGTGTATGTATGTATGTGTGTACATGTGTGTGCATGTGTGTGTGTGTGTGTGTGAGAGAGAGAGAGATAAAAAAAAGGGAAAATTAATCTCAATCAGTAATCATATAGTATTACATGTTTAATTATCACTGACAAACTTCTAGTATTCTAATAACATTTGTGTACCATTATTAATCCAGGTGGAATAAAAATAACACATATGCAATATTTTAAAGCAGTGACAGTATTTGTAACAGTTATGACTTTTTGAGTTAGAGAATTGATTGCTACAGTTGAGAATCAATGCACTTAATGCAGTAAAGGGGACCACATTTCTCAACATCTGAAGATAACATAATTTGGAGCTTGGATCCATTAAATACACATTATTGTATAATGGATTCAAGCTTGGAAATATTGAATTTTCAAATGAGAGAGGATAAATTATCAGAAAATTTACTATCTATCTAATGTTAAGTGTCCTAATACTAGTAAAAGTAAGGGGAATAAATAGAAGATTCTTCATACTACATAACTTTGAATTACAGATTTGTTTCCAAATTTTCTGAAAATTTCAGAACTTGATCTTCGATTTAAATCCTTACTTGAGGAACACCTGAGAATGATATTTCATTGAACAATTAATATGGCAAAAATGTGAAAGAAGTCTTCTATGCCTACCGGTATTTAAATTTCAGACAATTCACATTTGACGTTAAGGCAACAAATTAAATGACATTTTACCTGGCAGTGTGTACCAATAAGATAAACTGGCAACACAGAAACTTAATAAGTCTCTTAATCAAACAACTCAGGTATGAATGTGCAAACAATGAGACCACTTAAAGCAACCAGTTGCCCTTTTAACTCTGTCACTTTAGAAATTATGACTTTTGTATGAATTTCAAGGTTCACTTTATAAATTGATGGAAAACCTCCACTAAAAGTATAAGGTTTACTCAAAAGACTTTGTCCTTTTCTCCCAGAGCTTTTTGTTAAATATTATTTCACTTTGATTGATTTGGACTTATACACTGAATGTCATTTATAATGTAGAAAATCTTCATTTCTTGTATTTTTTTATATAAATTTTGAAATTCTGTGCTGAAGTGTGTGTGTGGAGGGGAGAGACAGCTGGAAATTTTTTGCAATTTTGAAGTCAAATAATGTTAGTAATTGACAAGAGATGACAACTGAGGCATGAACATATCATGCCATAATTGGTTTTATTTATCTCTAAACAGCTAGTAAAATATTGACATAATAACAACAAGTTATTGTGAATATATAGGAGAGTAAGGGCATATTCCCAGAGCTTTTAGATCGATCTATCCCCGTGGGGAGTCTCACTAGATTACTGTCAGAGAATCCGGCTTAAATGTCCATCCCACCTACTACAAGCTTTAAGGGGGTAATTAACTTTCGTGCCCGCTCGGCTGACAGCTATTTAGCGTGAACCCCCAGGGAGTTAGGTAGATCTAAAGTAGATCGATCTAATCTATGGGAATGGGGTCTAATACTAATATTAATCACCTTAAACCTTGAAATAAAAAAAACTTAATGCTACATGACTAATTCCATGCTTTTCTTTTCATAGCCAAAACAGCTGAAGTATTACAGAAGTCAATGGGGAACATTTTTATAATAGCATAATCTAATATTTTAAAAGAAATATGGCTGTAAATGGATGTGTATGCATTGCCAGAATGACCATTAAACAAAGAATTCCTTAAGTACCCATGCTGACAGCCACCGTAAGTGTAAAATTGAAAATCAAGTACTATAGTGGCTAAAAACAATTTATTAACTAGAGGATCAGAGAGGCGATACCGCCTCCAAATATTGTACCACCAGCTGGAGCAAACGCATTCGTATAGACCCCCACATACACAAAATAAGGGACACAGCCACCAGTTTTGTGCTTGACAAGCTGTAAAAATGCAATCAACAAGAATTTTTAAACTATTGCAAAAAATATATATGGTACAATCAAATTTAAGTTCTTCGTAAGGTAGGTCAAGGGTCAATTTCAAGGTCACAGTAAATTGCCAGTATATGACTTCCTATTCAAGTTCAAGAGTAACTATGGACCTATCTCTGTCAAGTTTGAAGTTAAAAGAGAAAGAAAT